GCTGCAGGCCAGGCCGTGACTTACACGCCCCATTGCGCGCGGCACCGCGGTGCGCCCAGGCAGGCCGCCCCACCGGGCCCCGCCGGGCCCGCCGGGCCCCACCGGGCCCCACTGGGCCCCACGTCCGCGTTAATGGCGCGTCTCGGGCCGAGCGGGCGAGCAGCAGCGAGGAGCCCCAGGTGGGGCCGGGGGCTGAAAAACGCCTTGACCGCTGAGAAACACCCCTAAGAACCATAACCCCCCAAAAACGCCCCTAAAAAATTACAACCGGGAAAAAACACCTCAAGAAATCAGCCCAAAAAGTGACATTCCTTCTTGCAAATCAAGCGGACTGAATCGTCTCTCCGTCCGTGGCGGTGACAAACGCGAAGAAACGAAGAGAGAGTACACGCCCGGCCAGCCTTCCGCCCATATCGACTCAGACAAAACCAACGGCATGGCTGCGGCCACGCAAGCGCCCCACAGTGGGCCAGAAGACCGGCGCAGGCGGCCAAAACTCTAGACGCGTTTTGAGCTCCAGAGTCGCCATACACGACTCGAACCGAACGTGTGACCCCACCAATGGATTCCTCGTTCGGAGAGCAATCTATTGGTGGGGTCACACGTTCGGTTCGAGTCCCACTAGCGGCTCTGGAGCTCAAAACGCGTCTAGAGTTTTGGCCGCCTGCACCGGTCTTCTGGCCCACTGTGCGCCCCTCTCGCTCCCACCCCCGCGGCGACGGCCTGCCCCAGCCTGCCCACCGGCCAGGGCCGCGCGCATGCATCAAACACAAATGGACCGCCGTCACCCTCATCAAGACCCTCGCCAAGGCCACTCCGCCTCGCCGGCGCCCCCGGCCACCACCGCGCCCAAGAGCAGCGCGGCCAACATTACTGCAAACTGATTCCGAGGGCCGTTTTCGTCGCTGTCTCTCTCGCACTCATGGGGCGTCCCGAATGGGTGCGAGCGAGACAGAGCGACGAAAACGACTCTCGGAATCAGTCTGCTGGGGATAATGTCGCCGTGGGCGCCGCGCGGCGGAGAGGGTGGGGTGGAAGGGGGTGGGTGGGGCCACCGCCACGCTGCTACACGGCCCATTCCTACCGAAATGCTAATAGCGCGACAAACAGCCAACTAAACCGGGCCGGGCCTCGCCGGGGCCCTATGTGCCACCACAAGGGGGGCTGACTCCTATAATACTTCGTACACAGACCTATAATACTTGTATAATACCTATAATACTTACCCCATGGGTTACCAAAACGCGCTAGATTTTGGGGTGCAGGTTTCTGGTTCACTGTGAGCCCCTTGTCAATCCGTGGTAAACGGCGTGCACCCGATGTCCAGGCGGCGAGATAAAGCAAAATGGCCCCCGTCAGCCTCTGATGACAAGGTCCCCCTGAAGGCTCAAAGAGCGCGGCCAACATTACTGAAGGCTGATTGAGGGCCGGCCCTTTGTTTTCCACTAAGGGGCGTAATTCGGCAACCGGACAGGGAAAACGACTTCGGAACAGTATCTGGGGATAATGTTGGGGGGAATAATTACCTATACAGGCCTATTCCTACCAAATGCTAATACTTCGACACAGCTCGGGCGAGTCGCCGGGCCCTTGTGCCACCATGTGCTTCCGGGTGCCCGCCACGGCCCGCCACGGTCCCGTAGGTGAAACAATAAGCCCCTGGCCGCTCCCCAGCAAGCCAAGCAGGCAGCTCGGGGGCGCTCCGCACCTACGCCCTGCACGTACTGATTCCGAGCGTCGTTTTCGTCGCTCTGTCTCTCTCGCACCAATACGGGGCGCCCTTGAGTGCGAGAGAGACAGAGCGCGGAAGGTGCCTCTCGGGATCGGTCTGCTGGGCCTGCAGGCCTGCATACCATTAGGGGAGGGTCGCCAACACCTCGCCGGCGTGCCACTGCCAGGCCCTCGGCCAGGGCGCCGGGGTGCCGTGCCGCCAGCTGCACACAATCGCCCCACTCCTTATTCGCACCACGCCGTTCTTCTTCATTACAGTGGCGTGCCACACGGCGTGCCGCACGGCGTGCCGCTCCCCGCCCCACAGTGTGCCCCACAGCCCGCCTATTAGCAGGTGGGGCGTCTTTATCACGCCGCCCCTCTTCGCGCCACTCGGGCCGCGGAAACAAAGTCCGCAAGTCGGGAAGGGGGGGCACAGTGGGCCAGAAGACCGGTGGAGGCGGCCAAAACTCTGGACGCGTTTCGAGCTCCAGAGTCGCTAAATGGGACTCGAACCGAACGTGTGACCCCACCAATGGATTGGTCTTCGAACGAGGAATCCATTGGTGGGGTCACACGCTCGGTTCGAGGCCTGTTTAGCGACTCTGGAGCTCAAAACGCGTCTAGAGTTTCGGCCGCCTCCACCGGCTTCTGGCCCACTGTGCGCCGCGCTGTCTCTCTCGCACCCCGACGGGACGCCCCGTGAGAGCGAGAGAGACGGAGGAGCACGCGTCGCTGTGTGTCTCGGAGACGCAGCGGCCCGTCTTTGCCAGCCTGTAGGCGCGACGGAGCTGTGTCACCTTGCCGAGTGACACCCGAGCCGGGCATCCATCAGGCTATCCAGTGACGATCGACCAGGCGCCATCGAGAGGGTCACTTAGTCGAGGACGCCGCCGTCGAGGATGACGCCGCCGTCGAGGACGACGCCACCGTCGAGGACGACGCCGTCCAGGACGACGTTACCGTCGAGGACGACGTTACCGTCGAGGACGACGCCGTCCAGGACGACGTTACCGTCGAGGACGACGCCGTCCAGGACGACGCCACCGTCGAAGACGACGACGCCGTCCAGGACGACGCCGTCCAGGACGACGCCGTCCAGGACGACGCCGTCGAGGCCCCAAATCACGCGGCGTGTCCGCGGCCGCGACGAACATCCATCTTGGTATTCGCGCGGATTGGCGCGGATTGGCGCGCCTGTTGCGCCGCGCCCCTCGATTCCCCGGACACATTTTCTGCTCGTTTTTTCTCTCCCTCGCCGTTTTACACTTTCACCCCCTCCTCTCCCCGCCCCTGAGGGTGGACGCACGACGCACGCGGCGCGCACGCAAGCAGAGCCAACAGCGTGCCGACACGCCGACACCTGCCAGTTTATTTTATTGGCATTCGCGCATTCCCCTCTTCTTTTTTGTTGCAGAGTGGCGGGGGAATGAGGGTGAGTGCGGGGCGGGGTGGGCGGTGATAAGCGAAACAGCGAGTCGGAGGCTCATCGGGGCGGCTGGCCACAGACTCATACCGAGAGTCGTTTTCATCGCGCTGTCTCTCTCGCACTCATGGCGCGTCTCGTCTGGGTGCGAGGGAGACAGCGACGAACACGACTCTCGGAATCAGTCTGCTGGTTGGCTGGCTGCGACAGCTTGCAGCGGGCCGGACCGCACAGCCAGCCAGCCAGCCAGCCAGCCAGGCTGCCAGGGGGATGGACAAATTGATTTAGCAATTTGCAGGCAAACCGAAAGGTGGCGGGCCGGGCCGGGCCGGTTGGCAGAGAGAGGTGGACGCAGAGAGCGGAGCCGGGAAGGGCCCACGCCGAGAGGGCAACGCCAGGGGCGGGGCAGGGGGGGGGGGGGTTACGCCCGGAGCAGGGGCTGCATGGGGTGGGGCGTCGCGAACAGGGCGTCGACCCCCCGCCGCCGGGCAGCCCCCACGCCGCCCCCGCGCCCTGCCGCCCCAACCCCCTGGTGCCCCACCCTTGCACTCCAAACCTCATTTAATCCGACAACGGCTGATAAATGGTACGGTGAGATTCAAAGCAGGGGAAATATGATTTTCAGCATCATGGAATGCATTTCTTATGCCACAACAAATACAGACATTGTCAATCTCTCTCTCTCTCTGATTACAACCATGACATGCACACCGAAAAAAAGGAAACCTTCGCGGTTCCTTTTTCAACTTTTCCGTACAAACATGCGCAGCAAGCGAGAAGATTGTTAGATAGGTTACAAGCACAACTGGAGAATGGTCTTCATTCCTACAACACGCTGTAATACCATTTCAAAAGGGTAACAACACATAACAATAACTGGTAAGCAATACAACTTGAAATTATTCTGTCCATAGATAATAAATAAATGAAACGAATGAGTTCAAAACATACATGCATCTGAAACTGGCCAAGCACAGCAACTGGTCATTGCAGTAAGTCACTCCAGTCATGGGACCAGAATCAGATATAAAAAGTTAAATGTAATATCAAGCTTGAGATGTCTCTAATTATCTTACATTATCGTGAAAGAAATAGTGCGCGGTTTGAAGTGTTCAGTTTGATGGTACTCATAATACATGATTCACAAATTTTAAGTCAATGATCATGTGTCAAAGAAAGAGAACTAGAAATAAGTTATAAACTCAAATATATGGCAATTAAAAAATCAGAAACAAATGACAACAGCATTGGAGCAGTTGAAATATAGTATTTCAGGTCTCTCGTCGCCGCACATAAAATATTGCTTGTGTCTCCTCAGAGAGGGGTTGCGTGATTGATTGATTGAATAAACAGAATAAAATACAAAAAAGTAAGTAAAAATTTTGAACAACAACAGGGACATATTTACATAGCAAGAAAGAATTTAGACTGTTACATTTATAAAATATGAATCCATGATGCCCCTAAAGTGGCTCACGGTCTGCTGCAGCTTCAACCAAACATTATTAAAATCATATAAGTAATTGAATACTTCCATGAATGGATAATTATGTAGGAAAATAATGTAAAGAAATCCAAATGCATAACACAATTTACAAAGCAGAAATTTTGAAACTGTAAAATATAATATTCTACTGACTGCTCCCTTCACAAAGTGAGGTTATGCCACAGTCTTACAAATATTGAGTTTCTGACTACAGTCCACCACACTGCACACTTCGACACCGTCCGACACGCAAAACATCACGTTTTCCATGTTAATGTGTTAGAAACACCACACCACAGCCCCAATTCGAAGGAAAGAGGTTAACCCGTCCAGGTAAATAAATGCCCGAGGAGAGAAACAGACGCCGCCCTTGCTCACCTAAATCCATGTCAAAACGCAGCCGAACGCAGCGCGGTGCAGATCGCCGGCGTCCAGTGCGGCGAGTATCCAAGGTATCCGTCCGAGCGGCACGACTCGCAGCAAAACGCCAAAAGGCCAAACAAGCGGCGGCACAGCCGAGCGGCTCGTCTCGTCCGTCGCACCACTGGAAGTAGGCTTTGCCCGAGGAATCCGAACCGCTGCACTCGCGAGTCCGACTAGACGCACTTCACAGCACACACTGCAGCACTGCACCAGCCTGGCCGGCCCTGCGGCCCTCCGGCGACGACCTCAGCGTTTCCCAGTCGGCAGCCGCGACCCGGCCGCGGTAAACTCGCCGATATTTCCAACTCTCCACATCCCTACGTCAGCAGCAGCCAGCCGGCCCAGGGCAGCCCGCGGCCGTCAAGCAGTTTTCTCGCGCGGACCGTCGCCGTCGTCGCGGTGTCCGCGGCCTTCACCGCGCCTCTCTCTCGCACCGCCGGGGCCAAGCCGCGCACCGCGCACTCCAATTTCGGCCCGCAATCACGCCAGCGTCCGCACCACTGGAAAATTTGGCACGGCCAAAGAGGGTTACGCCCGTCGAGAAGTGAATGTTTATCCCACAAGGACTCGACTCAACACCGTCGCCGCGCCCGTTGCACGCTGGGTAGGCTGGCACGGCCCACTGAGGCGCTGCGATCGCGCTCGGCTCGGCCCGCTCGCCGCGTCGCGGCCGCGCTAGGGGCGGGGCCAGGGGGTGGAGGGGGGACACCGCGCTGCTCCGCGCTCGCGCTGCAACTTGCGCAAAAACAGCGAAAACGGCGCAAGATGGCACTGCCGACGGCCTGCAGCCAGGGGCTTTCATCTGTCATTTCCGCGTGAGTTCGACGCTGGCTCTGCTCTCGCTAGGGCGTCCCTGGAGCGGCTCCTGGAGCCGCTGGAGAGCCCTGGAGTAACCTCGAAACCCGGCGACGCCCGCACTGGAAAAGCCAGCGGCTGGGACCGAGTGGCGAAGCGTGAGCCGGTGGGGGAAGTCCCAGCTGTCGCATCCGGACCCGCCGGGACTGGGCTTTCAGTCAAAATAGCGCATTTTCCAGCCGAAAAGTCTGTGGGCCGTCCTGGCCGTCCTGGACAGGGCCCGGCAGGCTGGTGGCGCGCCCTGGCGGCGCCGCGCGGCGGCTCGCTGGAGTCTCGCTGGAGAACGCCGCGCAGTGGCGGCACCTGTCGGCCGCGCCGGCAACTACGACGACGCGGCACGCCTGTAGGCACGCACCTGCCTGGCGGGAGGGTTTGAATCGGCCGTGGGCTTGGCCGTGGGTGCGGACAGGTGAACAGTGGGCCAGAAGACCGGCGCAGGCAGCCAAAACTTCAAAAACTACCGAAAACTACATATACACTGCAAACCCAACTGTCTACTCAGTAGACACTTACAAATGCATGCTTGCAAGTACACACACTTACAAAGTGATGTTTGACGCCGTATAACGCTCCATGCGCATTCATAGGCCTTTGTAAGTGTGTGGTACTTGCCAAGCATGCATTTCATAGTGTGAACTTGGCCAAGCGTGCGTTTGTAAATGTGTACTTGCGAGCATGCATTTGTAAGTGTGTTCTAAGTAGTCAGTTAGGTTTCTAGTGTATAGGCGCGTTTTGAGCTCCAGAGTCGCAACATGGGACTCGAGCCGAACGTGTGACACCACCAATGGACTGCTCTCCGCACGAGGAATCCGTTGGTGCGGTCACACGTTTGGCTCAAGACTCTGGAGCTCAACGTGTGTGGAGTTTTGGGACCCACTTTGTGGTGTAGCCGATCAAGAACCCAGAAACAGGTGCAGCCGTGACGTACAACCTCCTGCATTCCAAAGCCACTTCTCATATCGTTCACTCACACTTTCTCAGTGAAAAGCACTTCACGCGATCAATCGTATCTTATCTCATCCCGTTGCCGAGGAAGGCGCACTTGTTCAATACAGCTCACTAGATTGTCTCGTCCTGAGCTCCTCCCTTTTTCCTCTCTCTCTCTCTCTCTCTCTCTCTCTCTCTCTCTCTCTCTCTCTCTCTCTCTCTCTCTCTCTCTCTCTCTCTCTCTCTCTCTCTCTCTCTCTCTCTCTCTCTCCCTATCTCTCTCTCCACGCCCATTGAACATGACAGATGCGTTCGTTCCAGCCGAGCTGAACGAAACTGCCCAAATTCCGCACGCGGCAAAAACAACTCGAATCCTCTTCTTCTCCTCCTTCTTCTTCTTCTTCCCGGCGAGGCAGCTCGCGCGCGATATTGCTCTTTCTCCCTCTTTTTCTTCCCCCTTTTCCCCTCTCTGCCGGCGGGGATCCATCTTTACATTGGCGTTACGCGAAACTACTCAATTTGCCGCGCACCGTTCCGGAACCAAAGGAAAAGGATGCTCGATCGCGGTGTAACACCAAAAGTCAGACTTTTTGAAAAAAAAAAATGGAGCAGCAAAGAAACTGTTTGGCACGAGCGAAGAAAAAAACTAAAAAATGAAAGCAAAACGGTGCTTGCGCTTCGCGCGGACTCGAAGCGCCGTGGAGGCAAACCGCTAACGCGTCACCTCTGCCGGACAAGTGGCCTACGCTCCGGGCGGTCCAGCCCAGCCGGCCCGCTCAGTGCGCACAGTGGGCCAGAAGACCGGTGGAGGTGGCCGAAACTCTGGTCGCGTTTCGTGCTCTAGAGTCCCTAAATGGGACTCGAACTGAACGTGTGACCCCACCAATGGATAGCTTTCCGAACGAGGAATCCATTGGTGGGGTCACACGTTCGGTTCGAGGCCTGATTAGCGACTCTGGCGCTCAAAACGCGTCTAGAGTTTTGGCCGCCTACACCGGTCTTCTGGCCCACTGTGGTGCGCTTCGTTCGTCCCTCTGTCTCTCTCGCACCCGCCCGGACCGTCCCACGAGTGCGAGAGAGACAGAGGGAAGGGAGATTCCCCATTAGGAGTCCGAAGACGCGTCGCAGCGGGAGGAGAAGGGACGGGGAAAAAGTCAACAGCAGGGACGGCGATGACGACACGCGCAAAGCAACAAGCGCGGCAACACATCCACGCATTTTTCTTCCTCTTGTTGTTGTTGTTGTTTGTATATTTTTTGCGCCTAAATGTTGACACGGCGTACCCCTATTTGCCAAGACTGCGGCAGCAGGGCGGCGGGCAGGGAGTCGTGATGCAACGGTGTCATCCAACCGGGGGAAGGGGCGAAGCGTTTGGCGAGGCCAGGCCTGCTGCGGCACTGTCAAGGAAGTTAAAGAGGCACACTCGAAAACGGGCACGTGCACACACACACACACACACACATACACATACACACACACATACACAGGCACACGGCACGCACGTTTCGATTCCGGGACGGGGACATGAGGATGCGTTCAATAATTCTGGTTTGCTCACGCAATGCGCGCGCAGGGCGTCCATGTTCATCCGCGTTGCGTAGCGGCAACGCCGAGGCAAGGTGCGGATTTTGGAACGCAGACTCTGCCCTCTGCCTCTGCGGCAGGCGGTGGCGTTGCGAAGTTAAGTCGGTAGGCGCGCGACGACGAATACGTGGCTTATCGCAGCGCTGCAGACGACCGATTCCGAGAGTCGTTTTCGTCGCTCTGTCCCTCTCGCACCTGTACGGGACGCCGCGTGAGTGCGAGAGAGACAGAGCGACGGAAAAAAACTCTCGGATCCAGTCTGCAGAGGGCCGATGCCTCGCTGACCCCGGAACGCAGTGGGCCAGAAAACCGGAGGAGGCGGCCAAAACTCTAGACGCGTTTTGAGCTCCAGAGTCGCTTAATGGGACTCGAACCGAACTTGTGACTCCCACCAATGGATTGCTCACCGAACGAGGAATCCATTGGTGGGGTCTCACGTTCGGTTCGTGGCCTGTTTAGCGACTCTGGAGCTCAAAACGCTTTTATAGTTTTGTCCGCCTCCACTGGCCTTCTGGCCCACTGTACGGAGTGCCTCGTCGCTCTGTCTCCCTCGCACCCCTACGGCCTGCGGCACGCACACCGCGAGTGCGAGAGAGACAGAGCGTCGCAGCTGGGAGCCTGTCGTCGGTGACAAAAAATTTGGTTTTTTAATGACCGGACCGAGTATTTGATAAGCAAGCTAATGTATGCTAAAAATGCGTTGTAAGAACAGGTTAGAACAGTTTGCAAGGCTTTCAGAGTGAAACGGCACTCGCGGTACCAAGTAACCTGGGATTGTGGGTACAATGGAATGTCAACAACAACATGAACATCATTATCATCAACAACAACAACAACAACAAGGAAAAATGATTAGTTTACCATTCTGTTCGACGCCCTCGAGCTGCGAGTCTGTCACTGCGGGCGAGGGTTCGCTTATTACATTGCCAATGCCGAGTGCACAGCAGGCCGATTCCGAGAGTCGTTTTCGTCGCTCTGTCTCCCTCGCACTCACGGGGCGTCCCGGATGGGTGCGAAGAGAGACAGAGCGACGAAAACGACTCTCGGAATCGGTCCGCAGGCTTGCGCCGGGCTGCGCATGCGCGCATGCAGTCGTGCTGACTGACGGCTGATTTGTGAAATGCATTCACAGAGCGGATAGGTCAGTGCCGAGGCATGCACCTGTGAGTGCACCGGCACTGCAAGTGCTTGCTTTGGAGAGGGGGGGGGGGGGGGGAGCAGGCGCTACACTTTACGGACAGCTCGCAGCTAAACGCACCGTCACGACTCAAAACGAGATGCATTGCGATCCACGCGATAAACTGGACGCGACGGCCGCGCTCAGATATCGTCTGTCTTTGTCGCTCTCAGGCCAGCCGCAGGATGGTTCTGTCCCTGTCTCTCTCGCACTCACGGCGGCGTCCCGTGAGTGCGAGAGAGACGGAAGGACCCTTCGGAATGGAGCGGCTGGAAAGGGCGAGAGAGACAGCGACTGCGGCGCGGCGTGCTTGCCTAAGTACGGCGCTCGGTGCGGCGCGGGCGTCGCACAGTGGGCCAGAAGACCGGTGGAGGCGGCCAAAACTCCAGACGCGTTTGGAGCTCCAGAGTCGCTAAACAGGACTCGAACCGATCGTGTGACCCCACCAATGGATTCCTCGTTCGGAGAGCAATCCATTGGTGGGGTCACACGTTCGGTTCGAGTCCTGTTTAGCGACTCTGGAGCCCAAAACGCGTCCAGAGTTTTGGCCGCCTCCATCGGTCTTCTGGCCCACTGTGCGTCGTGCCGCGTCGTGCCGCCGGGGCGGCGTGCCGGCCGAGGCGCCGAGGCCCGCGTCGATCAGTACGTCGGCGACGTCGGCGTCCCGGGTGCCAATGCGGTTACCGCACCACCACGCCGACGACGACGACTCTTTCCAAACAGAGAAACGCGCACGTCCTCCGCGACACCAGCGGCACGCGCGGCACGCCCCGCCCCGCCCCGCCCCGCCCCGCCCCGCCACGCCCTGCCACGCCCCGTCTTGCGTGCGCGACGCGGCGGCGTTGGCAGAGTCGTGCACTGTGTGCAGCTATTTCGGGGGTCTTGTAGGTGCCGACGGGACATTACCATACTCTAGCCCGGGGCCAATGACTCCAGGGAATAACCACCACTCGGGGACGATGTAGTCCTTCCCCCTAATGGGAAGTACGCCATCCCTTTTGACCCCAGGAATAGCACGGTGAGAGTGCCGCCTTGGAATGCAAGGGGGTGAGCTGTCAGTATTGCCGCCAA